GAGAATGCATGAGTGAATAAGAGAAAAAGAAAGTTGGTGAGTGGAAATGAAATAAATTTTGATCTTAAGATGAATTTAGTAATTAATTTTAATCTTTAAAATAAAATGTCTCCTTAAGACATTCGGTGTAATGATACATCTCACTAAAAGTGGTGCTCTAAAGCACCACTAATGAATGGACAAGCACTTTAAGGTCAAGTTTGACATGTCTTGAAAAAGATAAAAAGGCTTCGTTTGGGAAGCCATGGTTTGGGTTTTTTTGGCTATTTTAGCCACAAAAAACAAAATAGGCTATTTGTCATAACAAACAAAACATCACATCCAACCCATAATCATTACATTCTTTTCTCACAAAAAAACTCAAAAAAGCTAAAAAGCCCTTCCCAAATCAAGTTTTTAAGCCCAGGCTAAAATAGCCAAAAAAGCTAAAAAGCCAAAAAACCAACCCACTTCCCAAACGGAGGCAAGGTCAAAAAGTTACTATCATATTTAAGTCACATCATCTTATTTAAGTCACATCACCTCTCTAACACATCACTTCAAACCCAACCCAAACCCAATCCATATTTCATAAAAAGTCAAAAAATATACTTATTTAGATCATTCCAAACAACCCTTAAATAAAAAAAAAAACAAGACCCAAGCAGTGGGTCCAGTCCACTGCCACATCACTAGTGGTACTTTTAGAACACCACTTTTAATGGTCTCAAGCATTATTGTAAGACATTTTAATATATTTTTAAAAATTTTCCAATTTTATTATATAAATTTTAATTTATTTTTATGTTATTTTAACTCAATTTTCTCTAAAAAAAAACAACACCAAAAATAGGATAACGTTTGAGGACCGTCGATCAAATTTTGATGAACAATCTGTCCGGATGAAAAGAGAATTACGAAACAACGTCTGGAAGTGTCACGTGCATGTCGGCCCTAGTTACAGAGATTCAGATGTAGTAGTACCAACACAGATTACGGGATGAGTATTGGGCGACGTCAAACCAACCTCCTGTCCACACGTGGGCCCAACCCAACGCATTTCTTGAGAAATGGGCCTACATTACCGCCCATTCAGCGAAAAATTAAAGATATATATACACCTTTAAAATTTAATTTCTAATATTACTAAAATGGTAAATTATACTAACAGCCCTAAAGGTTTTGTTTAATACAAATTCTCTCTCATATTTTAAAAATTATATTTTTCTTCCGGAGATTATTTAATCTCATTACAAATTATCTCCTAGATACTAATGTCATGTCCTAAAATATCCTAAATGACCATCATATCTTCTTTTCTTTTTTTTTTATCATTTCTTCTTCCTATTATTGTAACTAAATTTTACAACTTGCAAACATTAAATTCTATCTCAACAAATTTTTATTGAATGATGATATACAAATATAATTTTTATATAGAATTTTCAAATGATATAGCTTAATGGTAACGTTTTATTTTAAAACAAAACACCCATAAACTTGATTTATATTTACAACAATATCTATATCACAACATTTTTATAATATTTTTTGTATAAATTTTGATATATAAATATAATTTTTCATTTTTATTTCTACCATTATATCTAAATTAGATCAATTTAATCTAAATATATTTAAAAAGTATAAAATTTGTACAATTTTTTTTTAAAAAAAATCCATTGAATATAACAAAATAAGATAATGTATTAAATTTTTATTTTTTTATTTTTTTGTATTTTTAAAAAATCACAAAATATTAAACTTCTTAAGTATATCTAGATTAGGTGTATCTAAAAAAATTTAAAAAAATTGTTTAAAATATTAAAACAATTCAATAAAAAAAATTACTTAAAATATTAAAAAAATCAATAAAAATAAAAAATAAACATGAAAATTAAAATTATTTTTTATTTTTTATTTTTTGTGTAAGTTAAACCAAAAAAAGATGATTATTATTTCTCTTGAAATGACATGAACAAAATATCTGTATTATTCTATTATTTTATATGTATGAAGGGTAAGGAGTAAATAAGGCATTTTAATTTGACAGGGAGATAAGTGTAATTTTTCAAATGTGAGGGAGATCTGTATTAAATAAAAATCTCAAGGGTGCCAGTGCAATTTATCCTTATTAAAAATTGTTAACCGGCTTAGAGAGTGTTTGGGAAGAGTGTTGGACTAAAATAATCAATAAGATAAAATGTCACATATAACCTATAATTAATTTATTTTTTCTTTCACAACCATTAAATCAACTACAAAAAAAATCAACTTACATTTCAAACATAATGTTTAATTTTTTTATTTTTTTTATTTTTTATATATTGGGAAATTTTTTTTAAATATAATGTTTAATTTTTTTTATTTTTTTATTTGTTTTATTATTTTATATAAAAATAATTTAACAATTCCTCACTATCAATCCCCTCACTATTAATCCCCTCACTAACAATCCCCTCACTATGAATCCCTTCCATTCTATCTCTGAAAACAAATGGAGCCTTAGTCAGGTTAAAATAGTCAAAAAAGCCAGATAGTGAACTAAAATAACTATTTTATGAAACAAGGCTGTGATAATTTGGGCAAATTACAAACACCCCCTCGAGGTTTGGTAAAAATACAGATTCTCTCCTGAGGTTTGAGAAATTACAAATTGCCCCATAAGAGTCAAATTTTCATAACAAATTAGGAAAAATTAGGGAGGAATCTGTATAAAAATAAAACTTCAGGGGGCAATTTGTTATGAAAATATAAACCTCAGGGAGCGGGATGTAATTTCTCAAATCTCAGGGGGAATCTATGTTTTCACCAAACCTAGAGGGGATATTTGTAATTTGCCCTAATAATTTATATAATTACATTAGACAATTTATATTTTAAGCAATTTGAGTTGGGATGTGTTGGCTTTTTAACTTTCTAGCATTTTGCTTTTTGACTATTTTAATTTGAGATTAAAAAATCTTCAATTGTGATGAATTTTTTGAATTTTTGTAAAAAAAAAAATGAAATTATTACGATTTAGATGTGACATTTTTTAGCCTTAGGCTAAAAAGTCCATTTTATCTTTTTGTAGTTATTTTAGCCTCAACCCACCCCAACCAATCATGCCAAATCAGTGCAAACTTACACTTATAAACCCAAAATTTATCTATAAAAAAAGGATCAGTAGTTCAAATTCATTTTACTCATAGAATTTACACTTTATTAATTTAATCATCACTACACAAATATATTCGAAATAAATTATGAATTGATAAGTTGATAGCATATATATATATTTTTTTTTGTTATTTAAACAAACATGAAGAATATATTTATAATGTATCTCCAAAAATAGAACAACCTTTTGAGATTTGTTTGAAATATAAATTGTCCAATGTAATTTGAAAATTTTCAAATGTCTCATTTTGTAATTTTTTATTTGACAAAATTAATTAAAAAAAATGAAATTCGTAACTTTTCTCCTATAGAATAATAAAATTACATGTATTAGTAATTAAAATAAAATTTTGATATAATTAGAAACTGTTAATTAACTTGATAGTTTATTAACAAAAAAGATTAATTGTTATGAAATTGTATACTTTGTAATGTAATTTTCAGAATGATAAGGGACAATTCGTATTTATGTAAATCTGAGAGGCTGTGTTTGTAATTTAACCCCGAAAAATAAGTATAATTAGAGGAGCCCACATGTGACATTACCATGCACCCACTAGTCGCAGATCCCAATTCCCACTTTCCCACGGACAGCCACGTGGACCGCTTTCATTCATTCAGGCACTGCAATCTTCACCGACCTACTTCATATCAATCCAATCGAGCCGACAGCTCCTGGGTCCCACATGAACACGCTACCACATTCTTACGACACGTGTCAATACTCTATTAGTTGTTGCACGCAAGGATGGACAGCATTGGTTCTTCTCAACTTTTCTACTTTCTTCCTTTTCTTCTTTTGAATCGTGGTGCCCTCATCAGCGCTTGGCTTCGATAACAACCATACACTCGCTTCCATCAAATGACACCTCAGCAAGGTAATTAACTACGAGGACAAGTGTCAATTAATTAATTTATTTATTCTTGATCAATATAACTCGACCATAAAATTAAACACAAAATATATATACTCACATATAAAAATTTAATTCCGATGTATCTATATATATATATAAATTAATTTTACAAATTTATTAGCAAGAACTAATTTTTTTAAAATTTATTTGTTCATATAAACCTGTGTAAAATTTATCTGTTTATAGAAATATTCTTCAATTTGATAGTAAGATATTTACTTGGAGATTTTTGTTTGATAAGATAATTAATTGAAATTTTTGTTTGATTTGAGATGTCAATATGCATGGTCTAAATTGTTTGTATTTGAATTCAATTCACTGAGTTAATTATCTACATAATAAAATTAATCGAATATGGATATTAGATTATAGCTATTTTTTATTCTTAAAAATCAGAATAAATATTTTGTTTTTGAAAATAATATTAGTATCATATTAATAAAAACAAATTACATAAATTCAATAAAATAATTTAAATTATTTTCAACTACAAATAATTGAATTATTCATTCTGCAATTGAATTGTCTAATTATAGATAATCAATTCCCATCTCTATTTAGTGTTGGTTCGGCATGATGGGGTGTTAGGACTAAAATAGTAATAAAAAATTAAAATAATTTTTTTAATTTTAGATTAAAAAATATCACAATCAAATCATAATTTTTTTTTTTCACAAAAATTAAAAAACTCATTCTAAATAAAAAAATTTAATCCTAAATTAAAATAATCAAAAAAAAATTTGAAAAACTGACTCACATCTCAAATGAAATGTAATTAATTATCATCTTTTAATGTAATAAACGTCGGTTACACAATGTGTACTCATTCGAGGATTTGGATTAGCTTGCCCTTCGGGCTTCTGTTCTGTCTTTATCACTCTTATTATTTTGAGACTTAAACGTCAAGTTCGCGTTATACTTTCCCTATAAAAGGCCACTACCCTCTTACACCTAAACCATCAAAAGACGAAACTTCGAATTCTAATCGGCTGTTTCTAATCGGTGGCTGTTTTAGAGTGACCGACTGTCGTTTGTATTTGTTAATTTCATTTGATCAGAATGGCCGAGGAACACCACCACCATCACCACCACCACCACCACCACCACCTTGGAGACGAGAAGAGCCATGACGAGTGTGAGAGCACCGTGATCTCGAGTACTAACACCGATGAGGTGGAGGTAGAAACTCAAGATCGCGGGCTCTTCGGTTTTATGGGGAAGAAAGAGGAAGCGAAAAAGCCCGAAGAGGAGGTGATGGTGACCGAGTTCGAGAAGTTCCACGTGTCCGAGCCAGAGCCCAAGTTCGAGGATTGCAAAGAGAAAGAGAAGAAGCACGATCTGTTGGAGAAGCTCCCCCGATCCAATAGCAGCTCAAGCTCTGTAAGTCTTCCATACATTTACATTTTTTTTTTTATCCGTTTAATGTGATTATTTTGAATATTTTTACACATAGCGAGTACTTACTGGTGAATGTGTCACGGTCCTAAGCATGATTTCAAACATTGGTGTGACGATCTGGGTGAATTAAAGATATCATTTCATATGGTAAAATTACCAGACGTCTGTAAAATTTAAAATTAATCAGCTTGTTTGTTTTTATTTTTTAAAAAATTTTATTTTTTTATTTTTTATATTTTTTGTTTTTATTAATTTATTTTAATATTTTAAGTATTTTTTTTTATTTTTTAAACACAGTTAACATAAATACACTTAAAAAATAACAAAATTATAAAAAAAATCTTTTAAAAATTTATTAAATATCAAAAATATAAAAAAATACAAAAATTTAGTACAATTTGTTTTATATTTTTATATATTTGTTAATTCTTAATTCAAAAAATTCAAATTAAAGAGACTGAATATAGAATTTTAATCACATGATAATATTACATAGGATCTATCTATATATAGGTAATACCTTAATTTGATGGCACTAGTAGTCAAGCACTCTAGGCTTCATATATATGAGTTTGTGAGATTTGATAAAGCTAACTCGTTTAAATATGATTGTTTTGAAATGTTTTGCAGTCGAGCGGCGAGGAGTATGAAGACGAGAATGGAGAGAAGAAAAAGAAGAAGAAAAATAAGGGTCCGATAGAGAAGATCAAGGAGAAGGTTTCAGGAGATAAGGAAGAAGGGAAGACTGAGAATTACGAGGCAAATAAGGGTCCGATAGAGAAGATCAAGGAGAAGATTTCAGGAGATAAGGAAGACGGGAAGACTGAGAATTACGAGGCAAATAAGGGTCCGATAGAGAAGATCAAGGAGAAGATTTCAGGAGATAAGGAAGAAGAGAAGATTGAGAAATACGAGGCAGTGGTGACACCTCTCCCGCCGAAGGAGAAGTACGAGGAGGAGGTAGTAGTAGAGCATGGAGAGCTAGCACAACAAGAGGAGAAGAAGGGCATCTTCGAGAAAATTAAGGGGAAACTACCAGGCCAGAACAAGAAAGCCGAGGAGGTCCCTCCACCGCCGCCAGCGGCTGAGTACGCCGCCCCGGCCGCAGAGACTCACAGTCACGAGGCCGAGCCGAAGGAGAAGAAGGGTATTTTTGAGAAGATAAAAGAGAAGCTCCCAGGGTACCACTCCAAGACTGAAGAAGAAAAGGAGTGTGCATCCCCCACCAAATAATCTTCATTTACTTTCCAGAGCGATAAATGATACCTTACGCGTGATGGGTGGTGTTATTATTATTTTTTTGTTTTGTTTTGTTTTATTTTGTTTGCATTTTCTTTGGTTTTATGAAAGATTGAAAGTATTTTTATATGTGCTTGTATATTTGATTTGTGTTTAGGGGTTTATTATCCTGCCTTGTATGTTTTATTTTGCTTTGGTATAGTATTAAATATTGGATTGTTATTTTTTTTGTTTATGTTAAAATTTGTTTTTAGTTTAATAAATTACAGTAAAAAGTAAAAAGGTTGAGATTAGGTTAAATTTATGTCATCTTATTTCTATTGTTAAAGTTAATCATATAATTGAGATGAAAAGTTTTTTAAATTTTATTTCTCTCTTGTTTCGTAACGCTCATTAGAAGATATCAATGCCATTTAAGTGTTTTCCAACCAAAAAAAAAAAATATATATATATATATATAAATCAAAGAAACTTCCTATCTTAAGTTTTGGAGAGAAAATATGAGAAAAGCCCCAAAATGAATGGTGCCAAAACCCAATCTCCACTGCACACAACATAGCCTTTGATAAGCTCACTAACTTTTACGAAGACACTAGGGTCAAAACCCCAATGGGTTTGGAAAGATAAAGAATTTAATGAGGTGGGTGGATGGTTTTTTTTTTTTTTTCTAGAGAGAGATGAGAGAAAAGAGAGAAAAGTGAAATATAGAGAGAGGAGGTAAAGTGAAAAGTAAGGGAGATAGGGTGGAAGGCTCAACTTTTAAGTGATTAGATACACTTTTCAGAGCTGACTATGGATAGACCGCTCAAGCGATGGATCCTGCGCTTGAGCTATATATTCAAATTCCCAGAATCTTTTTCTTCTGCGAACAGACCGCTCGTACAATGGAACCTTCGCTCGAGCAGTGAAAACAAGCTCTCAGCATTTCAAACTTCAGAACAAAGAACTAGAATGATGACTTTACCACTCGTAATTTTCATGAAAGTTGCGGATATTTTGCCTATACCTTATATATTATATTATAACACAACAAAAAAAATTAAAAATTAGATATACAAAAAGATAAAACTAATAAATTAGATTTTTATTTATTCAGTTAAAATATTTCTTTTGCCTCTCAATATGTAATTTTAAATTTTAAAAATCTATCTTAAACAAATCTGATTTGAAATATCACTCACTATCATACTTTAAATCAATAAAAATTCACATATCAATTACATATTTAACTCCCATCATAACTCATCTAAATAATTATAATTAAAAACAAATAAAAATACATAGATTAAATTTTTAAAAAAATAAATTTGAATTATGAAACCACGCAAAAATAAATTGAAAAAAAAAAAATAGAAATCAGAATTTAGATATGAATCTCAAAAAGATATCACAATATCTAAATTTGAATTATGATTTAATAATATAATTATCTATTTTTTGATGTATAATATCAAAATTTTAAATGACTTAATAAAACAAATTAATTAATTTTTTAAAATTATTGATTTTTCAATTTATAAAATAGATTTTAAAAAATAAACTATTGGCTAATTTATTTATTTAATTATTTTAGAAGTAATAATTATCCTTTAATTTATGAATTTCAAATGGAAAGATAAAAAAAATATTTCATAATCTCTCCATCCTAATCTCTTTCACCGATTTCCAAAAAAATATTAAAACTTATCTGCCTTCTCTCTTTCCCAATAAATCAAATAATATTTTTCATAAAAATTATGAATATTTATCTATATCTTATATATTATATTATAACATAACAACAACAAAAAAACTAAAAATCAAACATACAACCAAATAAAATTAATAAATTTGATTTTTATTTATTCTGTTCAAATATTTATTTTGTATCTCAATATCCAATTTTAAATTTTAAAAATCTTTAAAGTTTATCTAAATAAATCTAATTTGAAAATATCTCCCACTATCAAACTTTAAATCAATAAAAATCCACATGTCTATCCCATATATAACTCACACCATAACTTACCTAAATAATAATAATTAAAAACAAATAGAAACCATAGATAAATTAAATTGGGAAAAAAAATAGAAACCCACAACTCCATCTTAAATGAATTGAAAAAAAAAAAACAAATAGAAACCACACAAAAATAATATAAAAAAAAATAAGAATTTAGATATGAATTTCAAAAAAATATGATAATATCTAAATTTGAATTATGATTTATAATTTAGTAATATAATTCTCTATTTTTCTTATATATATATATATATCAAAATTTTAAATCATTTAATTGGACAATTTAATCAATTTTTAAGTTTTATTTAAAGAATAATCTGATCAGTCATCCTAACTCCTAGACTTCGCGAGCACTAGCGGATGAGCTAACGGATTGGGTTAGGCGAGGTCTAAGTGTTTGGAGGTAACATTCTCTCATTCCATAAATTTATTTATTTTTTAATTTTTTTTTTCCATGTGTGACTCTCTTTCTCTACTGTTGGTTTGGTTTGGTTTCTGTTTTAGTGATGTTTATTTATTTGTTTACAGATTTGCATGTTTGAGAAGAATTATTGGTAATTATGATTGCAATCAAAGTATCTATGTTCGTTCTGTTCCAAGAATTTTGATCAAATTTTGTTTTCTTTAACGAAGACCATAAAATTGAAGTAAAAAAAAAGAGTATCAATTTTTTTTTTATTGTCATTTTATTTTATAGAAAATGTGAAAAATTATTGAGAATTCAAGATTTTACTATAATATTAGGTAAATTTAAAATTTTCAAATATCATTGTATTATTTATTTTTATTCTCTTTCTATCCTATTATACAATTACAACTATTTGTTAGTTTATTAATTATAATTCAAATAAATGAAAAATGAAAACTTAATATAACTTTTCATATATGTTGTGTGAGGCCCCTAACTTTTGTAAACTTTATTAGGTCCCTAAATTTTGAGTTATTATAATAAAGCCCTTAGTTCGTCGATTATTCGCAAATTAAACCCTAGAACCGAAAACACACCACGGACGAACCCATACAAACCCTAATCGACCTTGGAAGCTTAGAAATCATTTCTAACACCCTAATATTAATTATTTAACTCTCAAATTTTAGATTAATCACTCTAAACGTTAACTTTCGGTTTTCACAGTTTTCGTTCGGTTATTTACCTTTAAATTCAAAGCAAGATAATACAAATCGAATTATTTTTCCTAACACTAACTTATTAACTCTACACTTGAAATAGATACTTTAATTGAGCTCAAGCTCTCACATTTTTATTAAATCACAAATTGACCCCAAACAAGTACCATTATATATTTATATACATACATGTACCCTAAAATCTTTTTTTAACATTATATTTTACAATTTCCAAGATTTGTACAAAAAAAATATATATATAAAATAAGTCATTCAAATCACCATTTATGGCCATACCTACATAGATATGATGAATGTACTTTTTGAAACAATTTTGCATGATTTAAAGAAGAAAATCTTTAACTTGGTACAAATTTATATATATATATATATATATATATGTATATGTATATATGCAACTTAGATTGGTTTGATTAGGAGGAAAACCCTAACTAGATCATATTTATGAACCCAATTAAGATCTTTAATCATCCATTATTCCATTAAATTCAAACTATTCAATCCAATTCCAACCAAGGGGCATTTATGACCTTTTGCACCAAATTCATTATATAAACAACCTCTCCCTTAGCATTTTACATTCAAGAACAAC